TGAAGTAGTACTCCTCTATTTGCTCATCCTCCTACAAAGCATGATCCCAGATTTGCTGACTCTGTGGGCCCCTGAAACTCTGCCTGCTTCCCCTTCCTCCTTTACACTCTTCCAGCAAATGGGGGGGAGTGGGGAGGAGTAGATGAACACATGCTGACTGCATGAGCCCCTGCAATCATGCCCGACTCTGCCTCCCTCCCCTTGCACAGCCCCTCGCGACCACGACTCTCCCCTTTGGACACGCTGATCCATGCCTAGTCATGAGAGCTGCAGTTTGCAGCTTCTCTCTCTCACATGCTTTCAAAGCAGAAGCAAAAGAGCAAGAGGCCCAACCTGTTACCATGCCAGCAATCAAACTGAGTCCAGCTGCACCATGCAGATCTGTGTCTTGTAACTGCCTATGAGGCATTTAAAAACATAGCTTTGGCCTTGTACATAGAGGTTCCTTCATAATAAAAGATTAGCTTCTGTATTATACCATATTTTCTCTAAAATTTGCCCTTCACTTTTTTGGTTATGGAGGGTACAACAGTGAATCTGTTGCCCACTCACCTGGGTCCTTCAGCTATCACAGATCAGAAAGCAAAAATATTACTCTGGATTACGGATGTAAAATAGTAGCCGATTACTTGCGTTTCCTCACCCTTGCTGCTTCTGGCAGCAGCCCCTGTCCGCGGTGGCCCAGGCTGGCCGCGGACAGAGGCTGCTGTGCAGCAGCCCCTGTTTACACGGCATCCCAGCTCAACTGAGACTTGAGCAAGCCCAGCTCAGTCCCTGGCTCACACTGGGTCCACAAGCTACCCCAACTGCGGCTCTGCAGTATAAATGTAGTAGGTGCTGGGCTTACTACATTTAAACTCCAGAGCTGCAGTGAGGGTAGCTTCTTCTGAGCACCTTCCCTTATCAACTAATCGTGTAGTCAATACAAATTGTATTGACTACACAATGACCCAGTTACCTGCCTCTTAACATCCTTACCCAGGATAACCTGTTTAATGAGTAAATGCAATTTGCATGCACCGACAGGGCACAATTAAATGCACAGAGAAGAATGATACCATAGATTACACGGAGCATGAGGAGAGGAGAAGGTGCAAGGAAAATGAATGGAAAACCCAGGATGAGATCTTGAGGCTTGTGGGGGAGCAAACTGAGATGGTGAGGATGTGCTAGAGGTACAGGAAAAGCATCTGTAGCACAGAGTACGCCAGCACCTTATGTTGAATCAATTGCCCTCCTCAACTAATTCCATGTGTGCGGGGGAGACAAAGGCTGCCTTGCATTCAACTCTCAGGGATGACTCTTGGAACAGAGGGGTGGCAGTCGCACAGCTATGATTGCTGGACAGGGGAATTGTAATATGTCACATACCCTGCACTCTCCACCTCTATCCAGAGCTCATTCCCTGAATTCCTTTTCTGTCTCTGTTACATGTATTTCCTAAATAAAAATGCACAATTTCTGAACAACGGGATCTTTATTGCTTGTGTCATGTGTGAGGGAGGGCAGTTTACAGGCCAGTACAGTGGGGCACCTTATTAAGAGCAACATACACATGGCTGTCAAATCACTGTCTGGTCATTCCTGAAACCAGTTTTCCAAGCCTCTCTGATTCTTAGTGCTCCTTGATGTGCTCTGCTTATTGCCTTGGTATCTCTTTTAGGGATGTGATAGTGTAGTCAATTAAGCAAAAGCTTATTGGTTAAACACTATAGACTACATGCATTTCCCACCACCACCACCCCTGCCAGTAAATTTTTTAGCAGGCTGGCCAACAGCCCAGCTCAGTCCTGGCTTGCGTTGGGTCCAGAATCTACCCTCACTGCATGTCAGATTAGAAGTGGATTAGAAGCCAGGCAGGCAGGCAGCCCGGTTCACGCCAGGTCCGGGAGCTCAGATCTCCCCCAGAGAGGGGCTGCTGCTCTGTATCAGAGGAAGCAGCACAGGGTGACAGGCACCCAGTCAGCAAGGGGGAACTGTTTTTTAAACTGGCTCCCCTCGCAGACCAGCTCTTGCTTGGCACCGCAGAATGGCAGGGGGCTCCTCGGGAGTGGGGCCAGAGCACACTGGGGACTACAGAATAGTCAAGTAACCAATAATAAGAATTCATGAGGTTAATTGACTATTCAATTAACCGATATTTAACATCCTGAGTCTGGCTACTCATAATTAGTGAAACTTTTCTGCCTTACTTTCACAGATATTATGGACCATACAGCAAGCAGCCACAACAATAGGAATGTTGCTTTTGCTAGGTCTAGCCTAATCAATAAACTACAAAACCTTGCCTTTAAACATCTAAAAGCAGATTCTACCACCATTCTGCACTTGCTCAGCCTGTAGTTAAACTGCTCCTTACTACTGTCCAGGATGCCTATGCACGACTTCATGGGAGCAAGGGGGGTGGTAGGCTGGGTCTTCAAGAATAACCATTGGCATTTCAATATCTCCAATGGTAATTTTCTGGTTTGGGAAGAACATTCCATCTTGCAGCTTTCTAAAGAATTCCTAAAGATGCATGTGTCATGCAACTTTCCTGACCATCCCACGTTGATGTCAGTGAAATGGTCCTTTTTGCCCACCAGCACCCTGCAACACCATCAAGTACCACTTGTGGTTTATGTACTCTTTGGCAAGGTGGGCTGGTGCCTAGATAGGGATATGGGTTCCATTTATGGCCCCACCACAGTTAGGGAGCCATCTATTATATTGTGCACATTTCCCAGAGTTATTTTCCTACCTAGAAGAAGGGTATTGATTGCTGTGGCTAGTTGGATCACAGCAGCTCTCACTGTAGATTTATTGACTCCGAATTGATTCCCAATTGGCTGGTAGCAGTCTGTGTTGCATGCTTTCCCAGGGCTATTGCCACTCTCTTCTCAGCTGTCAGAGCAGATCTCATTCTGGTATTGCTGAGCTTCAGGGTGGTAGAAATCAATTCACATAGTTCAATGAAAGTGGCCTTACGCATGCAAATGTTTTCATCATCCCTATAGTTGCATAACTATGCGGTACCACCAGTTTGTGATTCTCACTGGACCAGAATCAACTTTACAGGGTCAACTGCTGCCAGCATATGCCAATTGTTCCACGCAGTAGTTTCATGCATGTTTGTGTCTGTGGCCTCACACTCTTCCTTTGGTGGTTCCTGGATAGGCTCTGTATACAACTCCACATAATGCACGAGGTTTTTGCAGTGCTTACCACAGCAGTTTGAAGC